GACTGTGATTTGAGATTGTTGTGTTACAGTATTTGTTAGGTAGGTAGGATACAATAAAAGATGAGATATATTTATTTTTTGTTTTGTAATCAAAATATAAAATATACCAATTAATAAATAAGGAAAATTTAGACAAATTTTGCATACAAGAGTAGAACCCAAGACTTCAAAATTGTATTGCCTCAACCTCCCCAATTCTTTCACCACTTGTAACAATATTGAACTTGGTTGGAATAGCTGTTACTTGGTTCTAACACATAACTACCTGTGTTTAATTAAATTACGAATTTGTTCACTAAGTCTTTTTTCTTTTTCTTTTTTTGGAAAACTTTATTTACAATATAATTAGATTTAGAAGAATAGATGAGAGAAGAGGAAATGAGAGAAAATTTCTTTATTTAATTATAAAAAAAAATTAGAGGGAAGGAAAAAGAAAAAATTTTTTACTTTATTTTTTTTTTAATGTAGTTAGTTATCCAATGAAATTGAGGGAAATAGAAAAATATAATTCTCCTTCCATCGCCTCCCCCTTCTCAATTTTCTTTAACCCAAATATAGGATTTGTTTTGAAAGAATATGGTTATTATAAATTTTTATGTAACAATAGTATTATAATTATAATATTACATAAAATTATAAATTTATTATCACAATATGTTATTAAATAAATAAATATATACAATGTCATGTAAAATTGTTATAAATTTTTATGTGATGATAATATTATAGTTACAATATTTTGCATATAGAACACTAAATTTATAATCACAATGTGTCAGTAAATAAGTACATAGTAATATTATAGATGATTTTTGAATGAAAAGAATCAATCATATTATAATATATTTTAATTATAAATTTATAATATTTTTAAAATGTATTATTTTTTAAACTTTTCATTACATTTTCTATCATAAAATAACTGTTTTTTTTTTCTAAATTAAAGATTTATAAACAATTTATGTGTTAACTTATATTATCCTTAAAAAAAATTACTATCTTTATCCTAAAATAACAATTGTTTTTTGACC